TGAAATGAATGTTTTGACCTACGTTTCTTACTGTATGTTTACGTGTCAAATTATCAAGATCACCTACAAATTGAATTTTTCAAAACAGCTATGAAGCCGAATAATTAGAGCGACTACGAAGTCGATTTAACAACTACAAAATTGTATCTTTCGAGTGGAATCTCGAATAAGCTACAAGGCTTACGACTACGAAGTCGACATGGAACAACTACGAAGTTTGATCTTTCGAGTGGAATCTCGAATAAGCTATGAAGCTTACGACTATGAAGTCGACTTAAAACAACTACGAAGATGTATCTTTTGTGTGGAATCTTGAATAAGCTACGAGGCTTACGACTACGAAGTCGATTTTAAGCAACTCCTATGTCGACTAATGGCCACGCAACCTGCAAACCATAATTTGATGCACCCAGACGAACATCGTTAATGTCGTTGCTCGTCTTCCACCAGTTAGCAGACCGGGTTGGAAGAAGACGGGTTAAAAAACTTTTGATAGTCAGCTACGAAGATGTCAAGTATTGTCGCTCATTTTTTACCAGCTCGCAAGACGAGTTGGGAGAAGACGGGTTGGAAAAATCATGATTATCGGCTACGAAGCCGCTAAAACTATTGCTCGTCGTCGACCAGCTCGCAAGACGGGTGAAGAATACAGGTTGAAAAACTCATGATTATCAGCTACAAAGCCGCTAAAACTATTGCTCGTCTTCGACCAACTCGCAAGACGGGTTGAAAAATTTACGGTTATCGGCTACGAAGCCGCTAAAACTATTGCTCGTCTTCGACCAGCTTGCAAGAAGGGTTGGGAGAAGACGAGTTGAAAAACCTACGATTATCGGCTACGAAGCCGCTAAAACTATTGCTCGTCTTCGACCAGCTCACAAGACGGTTTGGGAGAAGACGGGTTGAAAACTTATGATTATCGGCTACGAAGCCGCTAAAACTACTGCTCGTCTTAGACGAGCTCGCAAGCCGGGTTGGGAGACGACGGGTTGAAAAACTTACGGTTATCGGGTACGAAACCGCTAAAACTATTGCTCGTCATCGACTAGCTCGCAAGACGGGTTGGAGAAAACGGGTTGAAAAACTTACGATTATCGACTACGAAGCCGCTAAAACTATTGCTCGTCTTCGACCAGCTCGCAAGTCGGGTTGGGATAAGGCATAGTAAGACGAGACAGCATACTTAGACAAAAAAAATTTCAAAGCAATCAGAAGAAAACATCGGTATGAACATAAAATATACTCGTAAAACTAAGAGCAGTTGGAAGGAAGAAAGAAGATGAGACACAAAAATCAAAAGGAAAGATATTGCATTAATAGAAGTCGATTACATACTAGATTGTCTCGACCTTTACAAAATACTCCAAACACAGGTCGAGACTAAGAAAAGAAAACCATCATAACCTAGCAAACAACTATTAATTCTTCTAAGAATCGGCGGTCGACTTCTCTGCAGCATTTTCGCCTTCATCAGCAAGAGGCTCAGTCCTCGCACCCTCCTCGCTGACCAGCGGCTCAGTCCCTCCACCCTCTCCATCAGCCAAAGGCTTAGTCCCCTGCCCCTCGACTTCCATCTCCTCGTCGACCAGCTCCTCCTCCTCTTCTTCATGATCAGCTGCACTAGGCCCGACTAATTCGGTCGGACCGGCCAAGGGAGTAGGAGGGACCTAGAGTTGGTGTAACGCCCCGTTCGATTTATAGAAATTCTCAGAATATTCTATTTATCGAATATTATTTATAAGATTATATTTATTTTATTAGTCGCGATCGGGGTACTCGATCATTTTATTTTAAAAAACGTTCGTCGTAGGTGATTCAGTTTAATCGCGTGACCCAACTATAATCCGTTTGAATATGGAATAATTGGGTTTACTATTTATTGTCTTTATTGTTATTATATTATTATTATTACTTAAATGGCTAATTTCTCTTAATTGTTTAATTGATTTTTATTATTGTTATTATTAATAGTTATATAATTGTCTATTGTGCCTAATTGATTAAATGTGATTAATGTGTATTATTAAATAGTATTGTTATGTGTATTATATATATATAGTATCGTTATTTATTTTTATCGAACCGTGTGATTGAATCGGGCCACGTATATAATCTTAATTTTTGGAACCGAGAAACTCAGCCCGTGCACCATAACCGGCTCTCTATTTTTCTCCCATTTTATTTATTTTATGGCCCTTTGATTAGGGAATTTAATCCCTATTTAATTTTCTTTTAATGGAAATGTGATTACCTTTAAGATTTCCCAAACCCTACGTTTATTTTACCAATCAGAACCCTTTCTCTTCTCATACGTTTCCCGCAGACCTCTCTACCATATCTCTCTCTCGTCAATTATAGCAGAACAGAGGAGAAAACTTTTGTTCGTCCATCTTCAATTAAGAAAAAACATTCTCTCTCCCTCACCATAATCGTCGTCACCATCATCCAAACCTGCTCGCCACCCATCACCGCCGCTGCCACTGCTCGCGAAACTCCAACCTCTGGCGAATCCATTGCTGCACCTCCGCGACTTCCGCAGCGCAACCATCATTCACGGCCATTTCTGGTGAGCTTCAACCACCATCGCCCACCTGCAATTTCAGGCCTCGATCGTCGCCCTTTTTCTGTCACAAGCAGTCGCGTCTGTCAACGTGCTCACGAGTTCCTGTGCCGACCGCCACCTGCGTTTTCCAACGAGCTTCCGTAAGCACACGTTCAGGTCCTGCCCGCTACCCGTGGACGCCATCGCAATCACCGCCTGGGCCCGCTAATCGAGTTACGTTCGCTGCGATCACACCACCCTCGTTTGGGCCGTGCGACCCGTAACCTGCTCGCGAGCCTCAACATCCCATCGTGTTGTTTTTCGTGAAGTGAAAATGAGACCTTATTTCCCGAGACTTGTGTCCTGTCGGTGAGCCTTCCCTTGCTCGCGAGTGTCGTTCCAGTCACGAGCATCTCCACCCGATGTTCGCGAACCCTGCTGCTCGTGAGTTTCTGGCCGTTGCATCCCGTGGAGTCCCATCGGAGACAGTCGCGCACCAGCAGCCCCGTCTCGGTCTTCTCCCGACTTCGGACAGCCCCTATTTCGACTCACTTTCGAGTGTCCTTCCCGAGAATGGTATCGATGGCTTGAACCCTATTATTTTGTGTGTGTATATATATGTTGATATGTGGTTACGTGGAGAACGTCATAATTATATGTTAGCGTTTAATATTTTCATGAATTATGTGATTAGGTTAATCGAGCGAGTTATATGATGCGGGGTTGATATGGATAATCGAACTCGTTGGATATGATTCTTTCCGTGGATATATGTGATAAGTGTTGCTCGTACGATAAAATGGTGTGGCTTATGATATATGTTGTTGCTTTGGTGTTATCGTATGTTTTGAATACGTATATGGTGGGTTTGATAGAATTTATGTGTTTATGTTGTGTTCTAAGTCGAATTATGATGAAGTTCATGAATCTATTGTGATTTAGCTGCTTCTGTTGCACTGCTGATATACCTATGAAATAATCGTTTTATGAAAATCGTGTCTTCCCGTGATATGTAGCTTATTCTGTTGTATTTAAGTGAGCTTTGGAATCAGCTGATTTCGATTTGAAACGAATAAGTTATGATTTTTACAAAATCGTTGTGCGAGCAGCTTTATTAAGACCCGGCAGCATGTGCTCACTTTATGTTTAACCCGTTTATCATATCTTAATATGTTTAAATGAAAAAGTTATTATCATGAGAATTGTAGTATTTTGAGTTAGGTTTCTGTGAGTTTTGGAATTTCAAAATTCGGAGTTGATTTGAATTTATTATGATTTTTTTTATGTTGTACCTACAAGCAGTTTTTGTAAATCCGGGCATAATTGTGAATCATGATGTTGGGCTGTTTTTGGCAATCTTAATGTGACTATGTGAAAATATGATCAACATAAAAATTGTATCACATGTTATAAGCTTTCACAATGAGTTAAAATCAAGCTATTTAGGGTTCTAGTTGATTTTATATGATTTTTCAAATTTGGGGTTATGCCCAGAATTCTTAAAACAGCGGCTGCGTATATGATTGAAATGTACGCTCTGAAATGAGACTCTTTACGTGATTATTTGTAAAAATACTCTTCTTGAAACTTGTAGAATTTAATTCTCTTTGAGGGGAGGTTTGAATTCTCTTGGGGAGGAGTTTAATTCCATCGGGGGTTGGGATAGGTGTTTTTCTTTTCTCCTGCTTGCGCGAATTAGGGTTGACAGCTAAATATGGAATCTGATGTCTCTGGTGAATTAAGCGCATTTCTAGACACGGCTGATTTAGGGTGTCGACAACAAAATATAGAGCTCTTGGAATCGGAAAACAGGATTATTGCTCTCAAAGGATGATGATATCAAAATTAGTGCCTCATAATGCAAGAGAAGCTTGTTTGGGAAGATAGTCGGTGATCGCAGGGCAAGCCTTATCGGCTTAAGAAGGACTATGGGGTCTATATGGCAGCTTCAGAATCAAATGGAGGTTCGTGAGTTGAGAACAAATTTTCTTCAGTTCTTATTTAGTTGTATCGCAGACAAATCAAAGGTGATGAAAGGGACTAACTGGGTCTTTGAAAACCAATACCTCATCTTAGCTGAATGGGAGGAAGGGATGACTGAGAAGCATCAACGATTCTCAGAATTACATATGTGGATCCAAGTTAGTAACATTCTTATAAATTGGCTATGCACTGAAGTGGGGCTAAAAGTTGGGAAAGTGTTCTTGCAAGTCAAAACGACATCTGTGGTCAAAGCAGGAGGCCAAAAAGGGAGCTTCTAAAGATTACTAGCTGTGGTGGATGTTACCAAGCCATTACCCAGGGTGGCTTCCAACTCCATTATACTTTGATTAGAGCTATATTTCAGTATGAAAAGCTTGTGAATGCTTGTTTCTACTGTGGCCTAATTGGTCATTTGGAGCGAGCTTATAATAAGAAGGATGATGATATTGCTAAGGGGTGCCTTAAAGAAGGATAGTATGGGGATTGGCTTAAGGCTACTGATGGCAACTATGGTTACAAATCAAACTCAGCTACCACTCCAGAGAGTCACACTGATGATAACCACACCACAGGCCAAGGAACAGGCTCCAATCCACAAGAGGATGACATTGGGTTCAAATCAGCAGACAGTGGAGTGAGAGCAGGAATAGGAAGAGAAGTCAGTGTTGCTGAGAATGCTGCTTCAGAAGATGGTAACATTATAACAGGGAAGGAGATCTCTATTGCAAATGATGAAACAAACCTTTTTCAAGGTGCTACTTCAAGCATAGTAGTGGCCAAAGGAGTAGAACTGATGGACACTATCCCTGAGCAGAACAACACTAGCACTGCTGACCAGGGCCTTCAAGAGCTTAACACAACCCCAAAAGAAACGTTTGGACCAGAAAATCAACTACTGCTAGAAACCCAAGTGGCAGGGCATTGAGAAGTATTCCTGAGAAAAAGGAAGCTACATCAAAAAGGAAAAAGAGAGCCCTGGTGATTGAAGAAGCTAGACAACAAGATATAGATGTTGATATGAGAGGTACCAAAAAGCTTATGAGCAATTCTTTGGAGGTGGGGGTGGCCAGCCTTGAGTGGCCCCCACTTGACCAATAAAGCTTATCATGTGGAATTGTAGAGGGTTGGGTGTGTAATATCCCATTCAGTTAAGTATCAGTTTATCTTCAAAATCGAGATATTTTGAGGGTAACTAAGTTAAGAAATTGAAGTTTTTAAGTCACACGGGTCGTGTGACAAGTCACACGAGTCGTGTGACTCAAAGTATCATTCAAATTAAGTTTCGACCTTGTCACACGAGTCGTGTGACCAAGTCACACGAGTCGTGTGAGCTCACACGAGTCGTGTGACTTGTCACACGGGTCGTGTGACCGACACAAATGATCAGATTGTCATTAATGCATTTTTGGTGGCAACTAAAGTTATTTTTGAGCATTAAATTAAGAAAATCTGAGGTGTAAATGTTAGGTAAGGATATATTTAAATTGATTATTTTTTACAAGTTTAAATTGTTTAATTTGTTAATTTTTACACTTCAAATAAATTATTCCAAAATTTTGGCTATAAATAGGGCCTTTAGAATCTGAAATTTTCACACCAAAAATATTTCCAAGTTATATAAGTGCTTAAGGAGTAATAATTATAGTAGAGTGATAATTATAGTGGAGGGAGGAAATTTTGAAGTGGAAGGAAGAAATTTTCAAGAGCAAGTCCTTGAAGGAGGTAATTCACTTATGTGAAAATTCATGCTCATATTAAGTTCATGGTCATCTTGATTTCATGTTAAATAAGTTGTTAGTATGCATTTTTAAGTGTTATGATTGTTATGTTGAGTTCAAGTTGTTATATGCTTTAATGATATAAGGATTATTTAGTAAGATTTTTGATAGAATTGAGATTTTGATATAATTTGAAGATAGTATGCAAATTGAAATTATGATATTAAGATGAGAAATGATTAAGTGGTGTATATGATTTATTTCATGTTAAAATTTTTAAGAGTAATGAGATATTTATGATGAGTAAGTTGATAAAAGTATAAAATGTTAGAACACTCATGAAAATTGATATACAATTTTATAAATTGTTTAAGTTTTAGTGTTATGATTTAAAATTGAGTCTTATGAATATCAATTAAGACAAGTTTAGTAAGTTATAATTCATGAGGATGATGTTGGTAAAGGATAAGTATATTTGAGTTATGTATAATATGATGCCAACATCTAAGTGTTATCAAGTATGATTAATATGAGTTATGGCATTGAATAAAAGTTGAAAAGATTTAAAGTTATTCAATGAATTTATTTGAGATATAGCATGT